ATATGTTGAGTATGTGTATGGTTGGCTATGGTCTTATATGTTAATGTTGACTTGTATTATGTCTCTTATACTTGTAAAGGAAAGGTTTTATCAAATTGATACGAAAGCATTTATTCTTTGAAAATGTCCTTTTTGGCATGTTTTTGCATGGCTTCCATACTTAGTACTTAATTGTGCTAACCCCTTCCTTTCCCTTTTTGACTAAAGTGTAGGGATTTGGAGATGATGACATGTCATGGCTATTTGATAGGTTCTAAGTGTTGAAGATGAAGACTTGGTGAGTCCTCATAGATTCGAGGACAATACCCAATATGTTCTTTTATGTCTTTTTAGTATTGTTTAAGTTGTGTACGGGATTAGTCCCGAATTTTGTACTCTAAAGTATTAGATGGTTATGAGACATCATGTATAAAGTCTAGAAAGTCTTCCGCTTGCTTTATATATATATTTTTTTAAGAAATGTTTTCTTGGTAAGGAATGTTTTTAATTCCTTACGGTTTTAGTGTCTATGCGATGAATGAATTGCTAAGAGGCTTGTATTAGACCTTTTCGAGGTCGAGTACGCCGGTTACCACTAGGGGGTAATCCCGGGTCGTGACACATAATAAAGTTCATAGATTTGTCCTTTTGATGAATTTAGCTATGGAGATTCAGAGATTTGAACTAACAGTTCATGAACAGAGAGAAAGGACTGTAACTTCTGTTTATCAAAAATGAATCTAATCTTTACAAAATATCTAAACTCAGATATATATAGTGTGTACTAACTATAGCTATATGATCTAGTTAACCTAACTTAACCACAATTTACTTTAACTATTATTGTAACAAACTCTGTAACTAACTTTTCAGTTTCACTGTTCATACTAACTAACTTTCAGTTCCTCATATTCATAACACCCCTCCTCAAGCTGATGGTTGAAATATGTCTTTCAATCCCAGCTTGGACATTAGATGCGAGTGTGAAGCTTTCCATAAACCTTTTGTAAGTAAATCTGCCAGCTGCTCTCTTGTAGATACATGATGAGTCTTTATCATTCCTTTGAGTAGCTTCTCTCTAACAAAGTAACAATCGATGTCAAAGTGTTTAGTTCTCTCATGGAAGATGGGATTGGCAACAATTTGTATTGCAGCTTTGCTGTCACAGAATAGATCAACTGGTTGTTTGATCTTCACTCCTAGTTCACTGTATAAGCCAATAAGCCAAGTAATCTCAGCCACAGTGGATTCCATACTCCTGAATTCAACTTCTGCAGAGCTTCTAGCTACGGTTTTTTTTTTTTATTTCCAAGACACAAGAGCACCACCAAACTTCATCAAGTATTCAGTAATAGATCTTCTTGTTTGCACACAGGTGCCCCAGTCTGAGTCACAGTAAGCTGTCAATAACTCTGAACTTCGGGAAGGCATGAACAGACCTAATCCAGGTGATAACTTGATATACCTGACTACCCTAAGTTCAGCTTCTATGTGAGATTCCTTAGGGGCATGCATATACTGGCTCAGAACTTGTACTGCAAAAGAAATATCCACCCTGGTCATGGTTAGGTACAATAACCTACCTACAAGTCTTTGATATCTGCCAACATCTGCCAGAGGTTTATCTCTTGCTATAGTGTCTGTATCTTGTATATGTGAGTCATACTCAATAGATGTTAGTCTCATATTTGGATCTAGTAGAGTATGAACAGGTTTAGCTCCACTTAATCCTACTTTTGAGATAAGCTCCAAAGCATATTTGCGCTGGTTCATGACATACCCCTCATTGGTTCTGGCAAACTCAATTCCAAGGAAAAACTTCAATTCTCCTAGATCTTTCATCTTAAATTTGAGTTTAAGGTCATTCCTGGTTTTGACTATCAAGTCACTGCAGCTTCCAGTTACCAGGAGATCATCCACATACACAAGAACAACTATCAAATCCTTACTCTCTCTTTTAGTAAATAGAGAGTAATCATAATGACTTTGAACAAATCCCAGCTGAAGTAATGCCTCAGTCAATTTAAGGTTCCCTTGTCTAGGTGCCTGCTTTAATCCATATAGTGACTTGTGCAACTTGCAGACCTTGCCAAACTCCCCCTGTCTGCCAAAACCATGAGGAACGACCATATAAACATCCTCAAGGAGATCACCTTGAAGAAAGGCATTGTGGACATCCATTTGGAAAATAGGCCAGTGCCTGGCAGCTGCATCAGCCAAAACGGATCGCACTGTAACCATCTTGGCAACAGGGGAGAAAGTTTCAGAGTAGTCCAAGCCTTCCTGCTGATGGAAACCTTTAGCAACTAATCTGGCCTTGTATCTCTCAATAGCCCCAGAGGCCAAATATTTCACCTTAAAGACCCATTTGCAACCAATAGGATGTTTGCTTGGAGGTAAGTCAGTAATACTCCAAGTATGATTCTCCTCTAAAGCTGTGATTTCAGCTTGCATGGCTTCCACCCAAAGGGGGTCAAGGGCAGCCTCATGAAAGGACTTAGGCTCAGGGGTGCTGGAATAAGCAGCTAAGGCTGCAGCATAAGGAACAGATAAACACTGATAGCTAACATGATTGGATAAGGGATAGAGACAAGAGGATTGTGGTTTGGAGGTAAGATAGTCATGATGCCAGATGGGAGGTTTGGAAGGTCTAGAGGATCTTCTTAAAGGCAAAGGGACAGCAGAATCAGCAGGATTAGAAGACACAGAGAGATCTAGAAGTGGACTAGGACAAGCAGGAGCAACAGTATCAGGACGAAGAGAAACAGACTGATCTGGAAAGATAGAAGTAGCAGCAGGAGAGACAATATCAGGAGATATCGCAGCCGGAGATAAAGAAGAGTCTATGAACTGAACTACTGGAAACAAAGGGGAACAAGTAGAGGAGGTGTGAAGAAAAGGGAAAAACTCCTCTTGAAGATGACATCCCTGCTTACCAAGAATTCCTTTGTGTGTAACGAAAAAAGTTTATAGCCCTTCTGGAGAGTGGAATACCCAAGGAACACAGTAGGGACTGCTCGAGGAGCAAACTTGTCAACTTTCCTCACCTCAGTTGCAAAGGCCAAGCAACCAAAAACTTTAAGGTGTGTAAGGGAAGGAGATTTAAGGAACAACAGGTCATAAGGGGTTTTACCCTTGAGGACAGTAGAGGGTAATTTATTGATGAGGTAAACACTAGTAAGGACACACTCACCCAAAACCTAAGAGGCAAACCAGATTGAAATCTGAGGGACCTGGTAACATCTAAAATATGCCTATGTTTTCTTTCAACAACACCATTTTGTTGAAGAATGTAGATGCAAGAACTTTGGTGCAAGATACATAAGGATTGGAGAAGTTCAGTGACTTGGGAATTAAAAAATTCACACCCATTATCAGTTCTGAGGATCTTGACTGATGCACTAAAGATATTGTCAATCATCACCAAGAACCTTTTTAGTGCTACTATAAAGTCAGACTTGGATGTCAGTAAGACTAACCATGTGTATCTGGAATGATCATCTACCAAGCTTAAAAAATACCTCTTACCATCATGAGTAGGAACTCGATAGGGACCCCATACATCAGCATGTATTGTGTGGAAACAACAAGAAATAGTAGAATTACTTAAAGAAAAAGATAGTCGTGATTGCTTAGCCAAAGGGCACAGTACAAGGAATATCAGTAGAATTATGTAGATGTGTAAAACAACCTAATTTTCTGAGCGTAGTAAAAGGAACATGGCCTAATCTTTTATGCCATATAGACAAACTTATTTTAGAAGGAATTAATGGAGATACAGGACAAGTCTTAGGGACTGGAGTGGACTGAATCTAGAGTGCCTGCAGTGGGTTTCTCTTTGGCTGTAACTGACAGGCAGTGGTAAGTACATACATGTCATTCTCCAACCTGCCAATCCCCCTCACTATCCTATTGAAGAGGTCCTGAAAAATGCAGAAGTCAGGATAAAAAAGGACAGTGCAGTTCAGTTCCTTAGTGAGTTTAGACACAGACAACAAGTTATAGTGAAACTCGGGAATATGGAGAACATTTGAGATCTCAATCCCGCCTAGGATCTGAGATGAACCAATGTGTTTGACTATGGCAAGATTACCAGTAGGCAAATAAACTCTTCCTTCTTGAGAGGCAGATATTGGTTTGTAAAGTGTTAACATGTGCAAATTATGAACCATGTGCAAATTATGAACCATGTGCTTAGAAGCACCATAATCAATTATCCACTTATCAGTAGAAAATTTACCTGTGAGAATGGAATCAATGTCAGTCTTTCCATGTCCAGAGTCGAGGAGCTGTAATATCTGCATGTACTGTGAGTGAGAGAAGTGAGGATGTAGCTAAGGTTGTGGAGATGAATGAGACTGCTGATACAAAGCTGCAGGTGGAATGTTAGTTATAAAAGTATGTGAGACACCAGTAGTAGAGTTACCACCACCTGGAGGAGCACCAGGGCAGTTAGTGGAACCTACAAGATTAGCTGAACTAGGGGAAGGCCTTCTCCTGCCCTTCCAATCAGCAGGATAGCCATGGAGCTTATAACACTGAGCTCGTATGTGACCTTTTCCAATTACAATAGTCACAGTACAAGTGGCTATTAGGATTTTTCCTAGGTCTGAAGTTGGAACCACCAATACCAGATCCTGATCCTGCTCCACCAAAGCTTGATCCTCTTGTAGTAGAACCTGAGAAGCTCTGGTGTGTATTGTTCCCACTGAATAAAGCTAATGCTTCATTCAAATTACCAGTTGGAGGAGAAACATCACCAACAGAGTTAGCCTTACCAAGTATCCTCTGACTCTCCTCAGCAATTACTAGAGAGTAGGCTTTGTTAACACTGGGTGCAGGATCCATCATCATAATCTGGCTCCTGCACTGATTGTAAGATTCATTCAAACCTAGAAGAAACTGCATCAAGCGTTGGTACTCAAAATGCACAGCATAAGCCTGTGATTCAGTACATGCACAACCAGGTACAGGCATGAGTGAATCAAATTCCATCCATAGCTCTTTAAGTCTGGAGTAATAGGTGGAAATAAATGAAATTCCCTGAGATAGTGTTGCAATTTCCTTATGCAAGTAAAAAATACGAGATCCATCCACTTTATCAAACCTCTCCTTCAGATCAATCCACACTTGCTGAGCACTGCTAGCATAAACTATACCACTAAGAAGTTCACGACTAACAGAGATCATGATCCATGAAAGAACAATGGCATTACACTTCTCCCAGAGAGCATGTAAGGAAGTAGGGAACTTATTTTTGGAACTGGTACCATCAACAAAGCCTATTTTCCTAGCAGACCTATTTTCATTGATCTACTCCACAAAGAATAATTCTCGGATCCAGTAAGTTGAAGTGAGACTAGAGAGCTACCTAGAGTATCACTGGATTGCAGATACAATGGATAATGAGAGTCACCTATCACTTCTCTACCTATAGTTGTAGAGGCATTAGCACCAGAATTAAGACCTTTACTGATCGCCATTGATGCAGATCTGAAAGCTTGCGGAAGAAGGAAAAAAAAATTTGAACTGCTTCTCGAACAATTCAGCTGCTCTTGAAGCAGCAAACACTGTAAGCAGATGATCAAAACAATAAACCAATCAGTAGCTCACTGATGGCTTTGATACCATGATGAATTTAGCTATGGAGATTCAGAGATATGAACTAACAGTTCATGAACAAAGAGAAAGGACTGTAACTTCTGTTTATCAAAAATGAATCTATTCTTTACAAAATATCTAAACTCAGATATATATAGTGTGTACTAACTATAGCTATATGATCTAGTTAACCTAACTTAACCACAGTTTACTTTAACTATTATTGTAACAAACTCTGTAACTAACTTTTCAGATTCACTGTTCATACTAACTAACTTTCAATTCCTCATATTCATAACACCTTTGGACTATATTATTAAGCCTAATAACGAATTTCATGTGAACTTGTGTTTAATCATACAATACTTTAATCATCTTTCTCTTCGGTCCTAATCTAAGATTTTTTTAATACTTCATGTGCAGTTTTGATTGGGATTAGAAAATAGGTAGAAACTCAATTTGAATGTGTTGATTCAATGAATGGCCAATTAGCTTGATTCTATTTTATTATTGGGTTGATTGGATGGTCATTATGAAAAGATAAGACGGAAACTCGTGGCTCAAAATCACAAAAGGAGAATAAAAAAGACTCGTGTTCTCAAAAACAGAGAATAAAAGGACAAAAGGATAGCGACGCCAGATATATCCATATGAGATTCTACAAATTACAGAGGAATATTAGCTGGCACATGTAACAATATTTCCAAATAGAACATTTCTGTTGGGCGTAGTACTTTAGGGTTCTAGTGAACCTCTCCTATTGGTTATTTATTTTATTACTTTGGGTGCCTATAAATAATATAGTTTTTACTTACTTGTAAGTGGTTGAATTTTTGTTAATATTAAGAATTATAATTACATTGGATATTCTTGTACTCCAAGCTCTATATTATTTCTATATTCTTTACTAAGTCTTAGATCTCAAGTAACTTGAACTAAATCATCTCTAAATTCAAAAATCAAACGCATTTTATTATTTTCACATTCGTACTGAAACATCAAACATCTTAATTTCGATCTATTATTTCCTTGACATACTTTACTTTACTATTGCTCTACAAACAACAAATTCATTTGATAACATTTCTACTTAGAGCATACTCACCAATTTAAATTAATACATATGTCCTTAATTTCGTTACAAATTCAATTATACCATTTTTCGATTAAACAATACGAACAGCCAAACATCCCAAGTCTTTGGTTCAAATATTAAAAGTCCTTGTATATTTGAACAACAAAAATGTCGTATTTATAGTTGTGTTGTGTGTCCAATCTTCTTCTTTTTTTAAAAAAATAAAATAAAAATGTTAATCCACGTTATTCATACGTGTTGTAGGAAAAAGTTGGTTTAATTTAAATCATTAAAAAAAAAAGTAGAGTTTATCACAATATAATTTTGCAATGGTCTTCACGTTCTAGAATATTATTGGGCAGATATTTATAGCTAACTTTCAACGTATTTAAAGAGGCAACAGTGGACTTTGAGGATGCAAAGTGTAATTTACGTCATCATGGAAAGAAGCTTCATAAAGCAAGAAATATTTATGTCCATAGATTTTATTTCAAAAAAAATAATTAAATAAATATTTATTTTATCAAATTAGACTATTATTCCAGCTTCAAAATTTTAAAATAATAAAGGTGAATATTGTTTGACATACAAAAATTACGCAGGCGTTGGAGTTATGGAATCATAACTTTCAATACAGCTAACATGGATTGTGGTACAGTAATGAGACTGTTCTACTTTTAACCAAGATTCTAAGTTCGAGCTTTGAATATAATTTTTTTTTGTTTGGAGCATTACCCCAAATGAAAAAAAAAACTTCAATACATAAGCGACATTAAAGAGAAAATACAAAAACATTTTATTTTTCAAAAAGAATACACGAAATGAAGGAATGTTTGACAATACACGCAATTAGAGGAGAAAATAAAAGGCAATAGCAAATGACGAATTAAAATCAATATGAATTGTGATGATCGATTGAAATCCCTTCACCTTTAATCATATGTCTTGAATTTGAACCCTTTGAATTATTATTTTTTGTGTGTGCGTGGGAAACTCCGTCCAAAAATAACCAAATAACAAACGCCGCATAAAAAAAACTTGGAGTCATTGTCAAGAATATTATAACTTCATAATTCATAAATAATCAATATTTCTAAAATGAAGATGGCAAGGAGTTTTAATTTGGTGAGGTGATAGTGAACTCCAAGTTTGTTTGTCCAATGTGTCATTCTTTATAATAATAAGATGGATAATGATTTGGATTTTTATAAAATCCATAATAATATAAGAATCCAAATCATTATCCATCTTATTTATTATCTTTAAATAAGAATCATTTTAGTCAAAACAATTTAGTCCAAAATATCCGCCTTTTAAGAAACTCTATTGCTCGAATTAATGATATATACAATTTTTTAAACAGATTGAAACTAAAAGAAAGGATAATTTGAGAAGAAATAAAACATGATTAAGTCACATAATCTTTATAACTAATATATGTATCAAACCTTGATAATAAATTTAAAAGGACGGAGGAGTATTAATATCACTAATTCACTATATAGTTCTGGTCTCAAATATTAAATGTTTTAGCAATTTGAAATTTCTTTCGAATATTTGATGTTTTAGAAAGCAAGAAGTTGTTTATTACGTATATTTATAACATCAACATGCCTTGAATGAATATCATATCAAAAAACTTTATTGAAAGGAGCTCATCATCTAAATTTTGAACCTGTTTTGAGGAGATTTGAGTTGGTGGAGATTAAATAATATCAATCGGCAATGTATACTTTATTGTATCAACGATGTATATATTTAAGTATTCATCATCTACACATGATTATACACTATTTATACAATATCGATACTTTTATATATACATATCAATACATTATCTATACATATGATCATTTTATTAAAAATATTTTTTGTTACCTGTACATATTGGTAAGTAGCCCTTTTAAAAAGGCTTGTGTAAAAAACCTTCAATGCATAGTCCAATACCTTTATGGATCAATGTCTTATGAGCCCAAATATTAGCCTCATAAAATGATGTTTGGTATGGGCCTTAGAAAACTCTAAAGATTCATAAATTGAGATGAGTTAAACTTATAGCGGTATAGCGGCTTCAAAAGAATTAACTTGAATGGTCGCTCATCTCAATGATTAAACTAAAAACAATCAATGGATGTATAATATATGTATCATTCATGTACAATATGTGTATGATTATGTATAATCTATGTATACCAATTAAAAAAAATAAACAATAAAGAGCAACTTTTACATATAGCAAACAAAAAAATCATATTTGTATGCTATAGCAAAGTTTGCATAATTGCGCTCCATAGCAAACATATATATGTATAATTCGCTATACATATACAATTGAAAGCTGTCTATTTCGCTATACATATATACAAAAAGAAGCAATTGTATAATTCGTTGGCTCCTCTTCAGAATTGTATACTTTCGCTGGCAGGCCATTTGTATAAATTGTTGTTAGCCTCTCGTTTGTATAAATCGTTGACAAAAATATTTGTATATAAAAAATCGCTCTCTTTC